CTATCATATAAGTGGCATGGCGGGTCCTAGCCGTGAAGATTAGTTGGTAGAGTTCTTTCTTCGTGATTCTGCAGCGCCAGTCGATGAGGTTTTAAGTAAGAAGGTTTTCACTGACCTACAGGTTTCATTCGCACGAATCTTAACCATTAATCTGTCAAGGCGATTGTATACAGCTAACAGTTTAGATATTTCTGAACGAGTCTGGCGCTATGTATGACATCCATATGAAAGTCTCGATATGACGAGACTATTTAAGAACATTAGAATTTTTAGGTTAATGTTTTGGCTCTGTGTCAATTTACGGTGTTAGATGAAACTACCCCGAGCTCAATGTATTGTATGTTCAATTTAATGGGATCAGGTATAAAATTTCATGGGATCAAGTATAAGATTTAATGGAACCAAGTATAAAATTTAATGGGGTGAAGTATAAAATTTCCTGGGACCAAGTATAAAATTTAATGGGATCAAGTATAAAATTTAATGGGAAGCGAGCAAATATATGCAACCCCGTTGGAGTTCTGACAAGGCCAAGAAGTTTAAACAGTTTGTTTTTGTTTTAAGAATTTTGTTTTCTTGTTTCTTATTTGCGATATATTTCATATGAGTTTCGATGTGGGTTTTTATAATTAACCATTTTGAATGTCTTCAGAATGTTGTCTCATAAAAAAAAATCATTGTAAACAACAGTAGTCGTCTGTCTTTATGGGATGAGAACTTATTATTTACATTATTTATATTCGAACTATCGTCTTAATCTTTGTTGTTATTATCACAATGTTTTGGTCGTTGTGCCCTCCGGCCTTCTTCAGGTATCTGTCGATCGGGAAAACCTTCAGGGAATTTCGAAGTGAACCATTTGTTTAATTCTAAGACAGTAAAGCCACTAAAACACAAGGGGTCATTGGGTGTGGAAGAATTTGGAACAGAAACATTACTAATGAGTGTTAATGGAAAAGAGAATGGAAAAAATCAGGACAGTAGATATTGATTGACATTGCATTAAAATGTTTGCAGATTAAAGTTGGTTGGAAAACACACACACACACACACACACACACACACACATATATATATATATATATATATATATATATATATATATATTTTAAATTGTAATTATTTTAAAAAATGTGTATTCATTGCGACACAGAAATTACTATGTTTCGAAACCAAAATCTAAATCTTAAATTAAACTTCAAAGTTTAAGTTTAATTTAAGATTTAGTTTTTGCTTTCGAAACATGGTAATTTGTGTCGCGAAAAATACATATTTTTACAAAATAATTATATTATGCTCTAATGTGTATGGAACACAGTTTTTAAAAATAAATGCTAAAAGAATTCTGGATTACAAATCTGACTGTTCTTACTTTTTTATATATATATATATATATATATATATATATATATATATATACAATTTTAAAAAATTATTAGTAGTCATTTACTACAATGAAATGAACGCATGTTCTGACATGCGTATTTCAGTGGACAATGCTTAAAAGGGTATAAAATATTTGGATCTTCTTCAATTGCTAATAAACTGGCAACTCCAAGCTTACTGAGACAGGAAACACGATAAAGTATGTTTAAAAGAAATTATAACTTCCATGTTCGTACAACATGAAACTAATAAATCAAAATCACCTGTGGTATTATTGCTGCACCTTACCTTTTACCTCTACCTCCTGGCATAATATATGACAAAAATATAGTTTTAAGGTTGCTATATTTATGAGTGAAAGTAGTGAATATCAGGAATTCGGCGTGTGTATATATGAGTAGAGACTGGGGTTAACACCGAGTAGAGACAATTTGTTTCATGCTTGAACATAATCTGCAGATTATGAAAATTGCGTTCAAATATGAAACATACTTTTATATTCTAGTATATACACACACACAACACGCGCACGCGTGTTCGTGTGTGGCATTTTTTTCCTGTAGAACTTGATAAGACGAAACAGGTCACACGAAAACTTTTTCCACTTGTCATACATTTTTTTACCCCACCTATATATATATATATATATATATATATATATAATATATATATATATATATATATATATATATATATATATATATATATATATATATATATATATATAATATATATATATATATAATGTATAATATATATATAATATATATATATATATATATATATATATATATATATATATATATATATATATATATATATATATGTATGATATATATATATAATGTATGATATATATATATATATATAATGTATGATATATATATATATATAATGTATAATATATATATATATATATATATATAATATATATATATATATATATATATATATATATATATAATATATATATATAATGTATATATATATATATATATATATATATATATATATATATATATATATATAAAGATTATTATATAAACAAATAGACATAATTATTCAATGAAACATATTTGAATGAAGATATGCTGCCTATATATATATATATATATATATATATATATATATATATACTTGTGTGTGTGCGCGTATCCGTAAGTGCTCCTGTCTTCGTGTTTATTCAGAAGATTTCTTGTGTGATGCATTCTTCTTTTTCTTTTTTCTATATCTGTTAATAATAAATATATGTTAAGGCCTTTTATTCTAATCAATATAAACCAGCTTAGTATATAGGAAAGAAATCCCTAGAAACACCAAACGAATGATAAGACTTGTTTTATTGGATTCGACCAGAGTAAAAGCAACAATCTGATGCTACCGGAAGTGAAACACTGAGGAGTGGGGGGGGGCAAGATCAGTAGACTCTGCCCTTACCGCCGACCGGCAACTATTTTCCGCCATTAATAAGCGTCCTCCCGCCGCTCGTCACTTGTTATCAATGTTGACTTTTCATTAAGTCGTCAAACACAGGACTTGAGCCAATCTACCGCCCTTTCTGTAATCATTTGCAAGTTTTCAAGGCAGAGATACATGAAGTCACTGGGTTACTTTATTAGTAAGCGAAAGATCTCTAAAATGATTTTGTGAAGAACATGGAGGAGGAGGACTGTGTTAGAATGTTTTACCAAGACA